CCAGGCTGCTGCTCTCTGCATTTGGGGAGGGCGGGGGGGGGTGGAAGAGGGGAAAGGGCTTCATCAACCTCCAGGCTGCTGCTCTCTGCATTCAGGCCTCAGGGTTGTAGAGGCTAAACTGTCTTCTTGTTAACATTGTTGAACTGTCTTGGGGTGGTTCTGAGCCTGGGGTGCCTAGCTTTACAGGGCTCTAGGGAGGGGCCTACAGCTTCAGCTCAGAACCCCTCTCCTGGGCTTCCTGTCCTCCTACCTTTCAGGTTCCCCGGTTCTTAAAGTCCCAGCGCTATAGGCTGCCCTAGGTTTCTTTCCTGAGAACAAATATCACCGCCCGCTACTCTTTGCACGTTGCAAGCACATACTGTCCCTCGGGCTCCTCCTCATTTGTGTGAATCACGGCCTTTCTTACTCCCACGGGTACTGCTCAGAACTCTGTCTCCCAGGGTGCATTGTTTCTGCTTGACTGCAGTACAAACATCTGGATGTCCAGTCCCTGGGTCATTCCCACAAGACCTCAAACTCTGCCTGCCAAGGGCACCCGTAGAGATGGGTAGTCTTAGGCTTTCTCAGATGATCTGTGGTCCCAAGCAGCCACCAAACCCTGAACATCCATGAATTCTAAGCAAGCCTTTTTTTTATTTTTTGCCTTTTCAACAGCATTTCTCTGTGTAGCTCTGGCTGTCCTGGAACTCACTCCGTAGACCAGGCTAGCTTCAAACGCACAGAGATCTGCCTGCCTCTATCTCCTGAGTGCTGTGATTACAGGTACAAATCACTACCGCCTGGCCTAATCCCCATCTGCATTATGATATGGTTTGTGATTCCTCCCCCTCTTTTTTCTCTTTAATTTTTATAGTTATTATTGAGCTATGTATTTTTCTCCACTCCCCTCCCCTCCCTTCCTCTTCCCTTCCCTTCTACCCTCTCCCGTGGTCTCCCACTCTCCCAATTTATTCAGGAGATCTTGTCTTTTTCTACTTCCCATGTAGATTAGATCCATGTATGTGCCTCTCTTAGGGTCCTCATTGTTGTCTAGGTTCTCTGGGATTGTGAATTGTCGGCTGGTTTTTCTTTTCTTTATGTCTAAAAGCCAGTTATGAGTGAGTACATATGATAATTATCTTTTTGGGTCTGGGTTACCTCACTCAATATGATGTTTTCTAGCTCTATCCATCTGCCTGCAAATTTTAAGATGTCATTTTTCTCTGCTGTGTACTACGCCATTGTGTAAATGTACCACGTTTTCCTTACTCATTCTTCAGCCAAGGGGCATTTAGGTTGTTTCCAGGTTCTGGTTATGACAAACAATGTTGTTATGAACATAGTTGAGCACATGTCCTTTGATGTGATTGAACATCTTTTGGGTATATACCCAAAAGTGGTATTGCTGGGTCTTCAGGTAGGTTATTTCCTAATTATCTGAGAAATTGCCATACTGATATCCAAAGGGTCTGTATCAGTTCACACTCCCACCAGCAATGCAGAAGTGTTCCCTTTACCCCACAACTTCTCCAGCACAAGTCATCAGTGTTTTTGATCTTGGCCATTCTTACAGGTGTAAGATGGAATCTCAGAGTTGTTTTGATTTGCATTTCTCTGATGACTAAGGATGTTGAACATTTCCTTAAGTGTCTTTCAGCCATTTTAGAGTCCTTTGTTGAGAGTTCTCTGTTTAGGTCTGTACTCCATTTTTAAAATTGGATTATTTGTTATTTTGATGACCAATTTCTTGAGTTCTTTGCATATTTTGGAGATCAGACCTCTGTCTGATATGGGGTTAGTGAAGATCTTTTCCCATTCTGTAGGCTGTCATTTTGTCTTGTTGACCATGTCCTTTGCTTTACAGAAGCTTTTCAGTTTCGGAGGTCCCATTTATTAATTATTTCTCTCAGTGTCTGTGCTACTGGTGTTATATTTAGGAAGTGGTCTTCTGTGCCAATGCGTTCAAGTGTATTTCCCACATTCTCTTCTGTGAGGTTCAGTGTGGCTGGCTTTATGTTGAGGTCTTTGATCCATTTGGTCTTGAGTTTTGTGCATGGTGATAGATATGGGTCTATTTTCATTCTTCTACATGTTGATATCCAGTTATGCCAGCACCATATGTTGAATATGCTTTCCTTTCTTTGTTTTATATTTTTTGCTTCTTTGTCAAATATCAGGTGTTCCTAGGCATGGATTGATATCTGGGCTTTCGATTCAGTTGCATTGGTCTTCCTGTCTGTTTTTATGCCAATACTAGACTGTTTTCAGTATGGTAGCTCTGTAGTAGAGTTTGAAGTCAGGGATTGTGATGCCTTCAGAAATTCCTTTATTGTACAGAATTGTTTTGGCTATTCTGGGTTTTTTTGCTTTTCCATTTGAGGTTGAGTACTGTTCTTTTGAGGTCTGTGAAGAATTTTGCTGGGCTTTTGATGGGCATTGCCTTAAATCTGTAGATTACTTTTGCTAAGATTGCCATTTTTACTATGTTTATTCTATCTACCCAAGAGCATGGGAGATCTTTCCATTTTTTGGTGGCTTCTTCAATTTCTTTCTTCAAAGATTTAAAGTTCTTGTCATACAAGTCTTCCACTTGTTTGGTCAGAGTTACTCCAAGATGTTTTGTGCTATTTGTGGCGATTGTGAAGGGTGTAGATTCTCTGATTTCTTTCTCAGCCCATTTATCAGCTGTGTATAGGAGGGCTACTAATTTTTTCGAGTTAATCTTGTATCCTGTTACATTTCTGAAGGTGTTCATAAGTTGAAAAAGTTCCTTGGTGGAATTTTTTGGGTTGCTTATGTAAACAACAAATAGTGAGAGTTTGACTTCTTTTCTGATTTGTATTCCCTTGTGATCCTCCACTCTTACTGTGTCTGTACTGTGTTAGGGGATGAGGCTAAACCTGTTTCTGGACTGATGGCTAGTCCCATTGATGACTTGTGCTTCATCTCAGAACAGGGGCAGCTTCTGGTCATGCTAAAAAGTAAAGGATTCAGCCTGGTCAATGAAGTCAGTTAAAGGAAGAGCCAGGACCAGAGTGAGGCCTGTTGACTCTCAGTCCAGTGCTCAGCTTCGGGCTCCCTTCCTGGCAGAGGTGGATACGTGGTTCAGAAGGAGGCTGATGAGAGCTGCCTCCCACAGTAGCTTCTGTTCCCACCAAAGATGATGGGAAGTTTCAAAGTCAAATATTCACTGGAGGCAAAGTGTGAACACTTCAAGGGAGAGTCAATCAAACATTCCCGTCAGCGTGGGGGTGGGGGAGACTCTCAGGGCTCAGAAATCACAGCAGGTCATGCGCAGAGAGCCTGGCTGATCTCAGCATGATGGGCAGAGGAACCTTCTGCCTCCCATGATTCAAAATCCCTCCTCTTTTCTTCCACATAGAAAAAAAATGTTACCTTGGGTCATGAAGCTGAGGTGGACTCAGGAAGCCTGTGATTGGAGAGAGAGAGATTGTGATTTCAGCCAGCTCCCAGCCCCGCATAGGCCTTTTGTCTCTTTCCCCTTTCCCCAACTCCCCTCTTTCTTGGGAGCCTATGCAGAGGCTCAGGTGGCAAAAATGTTCTTTTCTCAGAGGCACAAGTCACCTTAGTGCCCTGCTCTCAGGGGACTCATCTGAGGGTGTTCCTTTCTTCAAAATGCCACCTTCTCTGTTTCAGCCTTTCCCCTCCCCCATTATTGTCACCTGCTCTGCTAAGATTTCAACCCCCCAAGTCCTCTGCTGGGACTTGCTCGCATTCCCCTGATGGTGGAGGGGTCTTCCTGCTGGTTGGTATTTCTCAGTATCAGCCCCTTCCCTTGGGCTTTCCTCCCCATCCCTAGCCCAGCTGACAGCTTTAGAGGTGATTGATGATTGAATCTCTCATCCAGTTGCTAGAGGGCAGGAGGGGGAAAGGGCTCCATGACAGTGAGGGGGCCCTGGGTCTGGGAGTGGGTGGGCTTGTCTCTCCAGGAGGGGCCCCAAGTTTATTTAAAATACCTTGAATTTAATATGCTGATCCTTTTGTGGTCAACTAAGTAAGTCTAAAATATGTTCATTTGCTTACAGACAGGACACCGCCCCCCTTCCCCAGCATCAATGCCCCAGCTGGAGAATACCTTCAAGACACAGAAAGAATTTACAGACATACTAATCATATTAAGGTAAAGGACTCTGTTTATTAGAGATCTTAAAGATGAGTGACATGCCGAGAGAAAGAATTCGGGCTGTATATCTACTTGCGAAAGGTCAGTTCATGTTACACACATAGAGCTCCTGTAACTCATGTCCAAGAGTTGATGGAGAAAGGCTTCAGAGAGGAGGACCACTGACGATGAGAAAATGTGAAGATGTATCGGCCTCATCACCACTGTCAAGCAAAGCAGCTAGAGAACGAGGTATTGATGTGTTTGTTCACTCGGCAACAGTCACGACCTGTCATGATAGGAACTGGAAAGATCTAGAAGTCACTATTGCATGAAAACAGATTAAGCCCAACTTTGCACTGCATAACAGGGGCTGAGAAAGACAAAAATCACCATTTCTTCTGCTGGCTTATGTTCTTCCGAGAGACAGACCACAGGTCAGCAATGGGATTGTTGGCTAGATTAAAGGCATGCCGGAAAGGAAGATGGAAGAGAAGGGGATGAAGAGGGTGATAGTTCAAGTGGAGCGTGTCTTATCAGGAAGGCGGCACTGAAGAAAGACATGGAAGAATGGGAGAATGAATTGTGCAAATTCCCCAGGGGAAGACACAAGCCCTAGAACCTTCAGTTAACAGGGAGTGCAATAACACACACAAGAGTCACTGAACCATGGTCATTCTGAAGTTTATCCAGGCTCTTGGGTATTGCAAGGGCTGGGTTCAGTTTTCTCAGAAGTTGTTTATGTTTTCTGACACCACACTTTTAACAAACAAAATCTCTTGTTTTCAGCTGAGTGGCTGTCCCACCCTACTGTTTGCGTGGTGAAGTTTGGTTCCCAAGTTGTCTTAACTTTGTATCGTCTCTCACCTCTAACCCAAGACAGTGAAATTCTTTAAAAACTTTGTGGGCTTTTTATTTACTAATTTATAATTTATTAACTGAGAGCCAACTTAACAATGATCTTTGAAGGAAGGTTTTAATGATCTTCATATTTTAAGAGCGTCTCCCCTCCCCCATCGGGTCTCACTATGTAGCCCTAGGTAGTCTGGGACTCACAGAGATCTATCTGTATCTGCCTCTCAGTGCTGGGATTAAAGTGGCCCGTCACAAAACCAGTTAAGAAGTCTATTTCTTCCTTCCTCCCTTCCTTCCTTCCTTCCTTCCTTCCTTCCTTCCTTCCTTCCTTCCTCTTTCTTTCTTTCTTTCTTTCTTTCTTTCTTTCTTTCTTTCTTTCTTTCTTTCTTATTTTTTCTTTTGGATTTTTGACACAGGGTTTTTTGGTAGCTTTGGAACCTGTCCTGTAATTAATTATTGTTGACCAGGCTGACCTTGAACTCACAGAGATCCACCTGCCTCTGCCTCCATAGTGCTGGGATTAAAGGCATGTGTAACCACCGCCCGGCCAGAAGCTCTATTTTTAGAGAGAATCTGCAAGACACAGAGGACACACCTTCACACCCCTACAGGGGACACACCTTCACACCATCACACCATTATAGGGGACACACGTTCACACTCTTACAGGGGACACATCTTCACACTTTTACAGGGGAGGGTTCTCTAAGGAATGTTGGAGGAAGAGGACCCTTGGAACTCATTTATTTATCTCAAAGAATACAGAGTCCTGGCAAAAATGGATAAAATTGTTGTTTTCAGAACTCTATAAATTAACCAAAGGCTTGACCAGTTTGAGAAATGTTTCCTGGAGAAAAATGGCCAAAACTTGGCAAGACAACAAATTCTGTGCTGTGTTTATCTGTCCCGCTCCCATGCCCCTTGTCCAACTCTAGGGCAGCCTTATGTTTTAGTTTCTTTTCCGTTGCTGTGATAAATTTTCCCAATAAAACCCAGAATAGTGGAGAGGGGCTTCTTTTAGCTTGTAATTCTGGGTTATAACCCACAATAGTGCAGAAGCCAAGGCACCAGGAACATAAAACAGTCAGTCACATCCCATCTAGTCAAGAGTAGTGGGACATGAATTTGTACACACTTTCCTGCTTGGTTATTTATGCTCACACAATTTCTCCACTCTTACATAGCTCAGGACTCCTTGCCTAGGGGATGGTGCTGCTCGCAGTGGGCTTAGGTCTTTCCACATCAACTAGCTTAATCAAGACAATGTCCACAGTCCAACCCAATGTAGACAATCCCTTGCTGCGACCCTTTTTCTGGTCAATTCTAGTTTGGGTCAAGTTGATAATTAAAACAAACCACCATGCCTTGAAGCCAGTGAATATCCTTGGAAGTCTGATGCTTGTGAAAGCCAGCTCTCCAGTCTAGCCGCCGCAGGAGGGAGCGTGCAGTTCCTCTAAAGCCCTATCCCCAGAGCACTGTCACTATCTGACTCCACGACAAAGCTCTCTATCCTCTGATTTATCTTTGTTTCACTCAGTTGGGAGGGACGCATTCCTAGGTCTTATTCCTAAGACAGGGCACTGTAATCATTTCACATCAAGCCGCGTGAGAAAGTTATTCTCCTGGGTAAGAAGTGGGCCAAAGATCTCAGAATGAGATGTCCATAGGGGCCTTTGCTGTGCTATTACCTGTTCTTGTGGATCCAGAAGGCTGTGCATATGCTCTGGAAAGCCCCAGGAAGGTCATGGCCTCTCGCCACCTCCAGCTGCTGCTGAGGTGGTGTCTCAAGGAATAAACGTGAAGACAGAGTTGTGAACTGCCAGCATACTGAAGGAGACATGCCCTGGAGTTGATGGAGCGCATGCATGGCCAGGGATAGAAGGTCTTTGACTACAAGGCAATCTAAAGAATTTTCTGTCTAAGTTGATGGCTACTTTGGGTGACTGTCCACACAGCAAGATGTCTCCGTCATTTCTAGAGTTTTGGAACTTGCTTACAATGCACTTTCTGTTTTCTTTGGTAATATTATATCCTTCTGCAGTTTTTGATGGAGTTGAAGAATTGATAGTTATAGTTTTCCTTAGTTGTGATAAAAGATAAAGTAGATATAAATATTGTAACTGTAATTATTGCTGGATAACTGTTTTGTTACATGTAATTTTACTATGTTAAAGTTAAAACCTTCCTTTTTTATTTAAATAGAAAAGGGGAAGTGATATGGGATTCCCCTCTGTATGTTGTGAATATCATTGGTTAATAAGGAAAACTTCCTTGGCCTACTGATAGGGCAGAACCTAAATAGGCAGGAAAAACTAAACTGAATGCTGGGAGAAAGAGGGTAGAGTGAGGAGAAGCCATGTAGGCCCTCCAGAGACAGATGCTGGGAACTTTACCCAGTAAGCACATCCATGTGGCAATACATAGATTACTAGAAATGGTTAAACTAAGATATAAATGTTAGCCAAAAAGAAGCTAGAGCTAATGGGCCAAGCAGTAATTTAAATAATATGGTTTCTGTGTGATTATGGGAGTCTGAGCAGCTGGGAAATGAACAAGTAGTCTTCTTACAGCATGGAGAGACAGTTTTCTTTAAGGATGTGGCACCTTGTAGACCAGCCTAGCACCAGTGGATGGCCCCACACCCATGAGTATTTGAACAGTACACTCTAGGTTATCTTGATAAACAAAACAAGAAAGGGGTTAGAGAGATAGCTTAGTGGTTAAGAGCACTGGTTGCTCTCCCAGAGGATCCAGGATCAATTCTCAGTGCCAACACGGCAGTTCACAACTGTCTGTATGTTCAGTACTAGGGGGTGCAGTGACTTCTCTGGCCTCTTTGGCATCAGGTACCTACATGGTACCCAGACATACATGCAGGCAAACACCTATACACATAAAAATAAATAAATGAAACCAAAACAGGGATATTTGAAGTTGGGAGGGTGTGGGAAGTGGAGGGAAGATCTGGGAGGAATTAGGGAGAAGAGGGAGGGGTAGATATGACCAAAACTCATTGTATAAAAACTTCAAGCTATTAATATAAATGTAATATTTAAGTAAAAATGCCTGCCTAATAAGCTAGCTAGGTAGAAACTGTCAGGTCCAAAAGAAGCTCCATTTCTCCAAATTCCACAGGGCAGAGGGGACAAATGACTATCTGGTGCTATTGGCCACAGTGCATGCCGGCTCCAGGCTCCCTCGTCATCACAACTACCTGTTAAATATTTCAAAGTCCGAGCTAGCCTCTAGCTCTTGTCACTTCCTCCCTACCCCAAACTTTCTCAGCTCACGGGCTTCCTCCCACAGCTGCCCATTCCTCTTATAGCCCTGCTATTCTGAACGTGCTCATCTTTTTCTTCACCTCTCTTTGCCTTCCTCTTACCCACTCCCCTGTCTCTGGTGCTCTCCTTCTCTATGTCCCCACCTCACCCCTGCTCTGCTCATGGTCAGGTCCAGTCTGCTGGCCATGTTCAATCAAATGCTCTCTGCTATGGACTCTTCCAGAGGCCTCTGCCTGTCCTTTCTCTCACATCTACAGCAAAACCCTTCCCCTTAACCATACCATGGAGTGGTCACATCGTCAGTTCAGAGACTGCCTGTGACAAAGATTACAGAGTTCACAGAATTACCTCGGGAAGCAAGCAGAGCCCCTTATGGTACTAAACAGACACCCCTGGCAGCAGGCAGCACAGCAGCGGGCAGTGTGGCTGGGAGAAGGGGCACTTAAAACACATACTCAGTTTTCAACCAAAAGTTAGAAGACACACAAACATGCTGTCTTGTTGTATTCACAGAAAAAAAAATCAGATTAAACGTTCCTAAGAGGGGAAGCATATATGTTGGATTTATTAGACAAAGACTTTAAATTGTCTTTTATGAGTGCCTTCAACGAAGAATAGAAAACTCTGGCCCGATATTAAGGTTAAATGTGGCAACCATGTCTCACCAAAGAGAGCATCAAACAGAAGGCAAAAGTTATGAAGAGATACAAACAGACAGTCTGGAATTGCAAAGTTCAGTAACTGCTGTGGACCCTGGCTTAGACTCAGAATAGGTTTGAGCAGACAGAAAAATCAGCTGACTCAAAGAGAGGTGAGTTGGACCAGGATGCAGGAGCATCCACCTAATCCCAATGTTAAGGGGGCAGAGGAACACTGATCTCTAGGCCAGCCCGGTTTAACATAGTGAGTTCCAGGACAGCCAAGGCTACATCCTGTGTCAAAACAAACAGATAGCCAGACAAGTCAGACAGACAGGTGAGTTACAATTTTCTAGCCTCAGAAACACAAATAAGTAATAAATAAATAAATAGATAAATAAATAAATAAATAAATAAGCAGAACCTCAATGATTTGTCTGTCTTTATTAGGCATACCAATGTACTTAAAGATACTGGCAGGAGAATTAAGAATTAGGAAAATGTACTCCAATTAGGACAATCTAAAAGGATTTACATGTATCATAATCACAACACTTAAAAGTCAAAGATAAAGGGAGAATGTTGAAAGTAGCAACAAAACCCTGCTCAGCACACGTGGGAGTTCCTCCCTAAGATGAAGTCATTAGGAACCCTTGACAGCAGAAGGCGGTGAGATTGACAAACTGCTGAGAGAATGAGGCTGTCAAGAGAGAACTGTATATGAAGTGCAGCATTGTTTAAAAAGCTATCGAGAACTTCAAACACCAAGATAAACAAAAATTAATGAAAAATGACTTAGTGTAAAAATTGTTCTGCAAGAAAAACTAACGAGAGTTCATTGGGTTGCAGGAAGGGTGCCTGGCCATGTTCTGACTCCATGTGGAGAAGAAACCCTTCATTGTGAAGAGCAGCCAACAGGCGAACGGAACGGCAGCCTGAGTGGGTTTCTGTTTGTGACTCCCCCCCCATCTGCTTTTGAAAGAAAATTTATAAAACAATAGTCATTTTATTTTTATTTATTTAATTTTTTTTTGAGACAGGGTCTCCTGTAGCCCAGGCTAGCCCTGGACTCACCACGGAGCTGAGTGTGAACCCCTGATCCTCCTGCTTCAGCTCCTCAGTGCTAGAATTACAGACTTGCAAGGCAAGCTCGGCTTGAAGCAATGGCTACCAAACCGTGGAGAGCTTTACAGTGTATGAAGATGACTGGAAGAAATTGTCTGTATCTAGCACAATACTGAGTGCAGGGAATTCATTCTTGTAATTAAAGAAGGAAATGTCTACTTGACACGAAAGATGCCAGTAACAGAGGAAGAGAGGAATGATACACAGAAGACAGGCAATGGTACGTGTCAGGTTTACCATATTCGTAGTTGAATGAGGTGGGAATGGATTAAAATACTAATCAAAGCAGGGACCAGAAAATAGCCTAGAAGCAATCCAAATATCTACTGCTTATAAAAGACAAATATTAGATTCAACGACATCGTAAGTTCTAAGAGGAAGGACAGCAAAGAATTCACTGTTTAGTAAGCAATAAAAGCCGAAATAGCTGTGTCAGCATCAGATGAAACAGGCATCAAGGTAAAAAGTGTTACTAGAGAAAAAGACATTTTATAGTGATGGGAAGAAGGATACACTGGGAAGAAATAAACATTTATGTATCCTATAAGAAGAAAAAACTAACAAAATTAAATGAAGAATTCAGTAATTCAACATCAATAGTTGGAAACGTCAACATCACAGTTTCTTGTGTGTGTGTGAATATTGTTGTTGTATGTGCACATGTGTGTGTGCAGCTGTGCAGAGACCAGAGGACAACACCAGGTGTCCTGTCTGAGCACTCTCTGTGTTACCCCTGAGGCAGGATCTCTCAGTGAATGTGGAGCTGGGCTGGCTTGGCTGGAAGCCAGCGAGCCCCAGTGATCCTTCCTTCTGTGCCTGGCAGGGTGACTGTGTTAGGGTGACGTGTGTGCCACCTGGCCTGTTTTTTACATGGCTGCTGGTATCAGAACTCAGGTCCTCATGCTTGAACAGAAAGCATTCTTACCCACTGGACCATTAACCCAGCCCCCAGTACCACTCTTTCAGTAATAGGTAGAACAAGTAGACAGACAAACAGGGAAAGGAATATCTGCAGATGGTTATGAACCATCTCCCTGACGGGCTTCCACAGGACACTCCGTGCAACAGCTGAGCTACATCCTCCCAAGTGCACATGGAGATTCTCCAGAAGGAGTGCTTAGGCCAGAATTAAGCTTTAATAGGCTTAAGGAGATTAAAGTCATACATAAAAAAATCTGTTTTCTGACCACAATGGAATTAAATTACAAGTCAATATTAGGAGCAAATATGAGAAACTCGGAAATAATAAGAAATTAAACAACATATTCATCAATGACTTCTAAGTCAGAGACGAGACCACAAAGGCATTAGGAATACTATGAAATGAAGGAAGACAAAAATCACAACATAGCCAGTCTCACAGGGTGTGGTGAAAGCAACAGCTGAGTGACATTATACCTGTAAACATAGAGTTTTAAGGGCAATAAATCTCAAATCCAAAACTTCACCTGCCTAGAGAAAGAAAAGAGCAGTCTAGCCAAAGGGACCAAGAGGAAGGAAAGACTACCAGTAGATGGGGTGGGACAGGGCAGAATAGGGAGGGGCAGAGTGGGATGGGGGAAACAGCAAATGGAAAAGGAACTATGAAAAAAAGAATGAAACTAAAAACTGGATTTTATAAAAAATTCTTTTAGCTGTGGAAAGGAAGAGTCATGTTTCTAAAGCCCTGAGCTAAAGAGGAGACATCACTACAGACTCCACAGCGATGGGAAAGCGTATAAAGATTATCAGATTATACTGGTGTACCAGCAGATTAGATAGCACAGATGAAATGGAGAAGTTCTTAAAAAGACACAGCTACTTAAACGGACTTAAGGATAGAGCTTATGAGTCATCCATAATCAATTCTCCAGCCTTCACACCTCTGTCCCTCATGGTCACATGCGGAAACCCTAGCCCCCACTGAGATAGGAAGTATTTGGTGGTGTGGCCTTAGAGAGGTAACTAGGTTTAGATGGGGTTACAGGGTGGAGTCTCTTCTTGTATAAACAGAGGAAGGCACCAACACCCCCTCTGTCATGTGGAGGGGCAGCGAGAAGGCTTCAGTGTGCCACTGCGAAGACACCTGGCCTTCGCTTAGCAGATCAGTATCTCGATCGTGGATTTCCTGCCTTCAGCTGTGTGAGACAGACTCGTATGGTTGAGCAGACACGGTGCTCTGCGGCTGCCAGCTGCTCTCAAAGCGGGCTCCCCAGGACAACACAATAGGCCTTGCACTCAGAGCCGGCTCACTGGGTAGTGATAGGAAGATGGATACACTGGGAATAAATAAACATATATGTATCTATAAGAAGAAAAAAAAACCTAACAAAATTAAATGAACTGCAGCCCGATGGGTAAGAAATCTCCCAGGTAAGAGTGAAGTGACGCCTGTGCTCTGCGGACAAAGCGGCGGGAAAGCCACGGTGGTGAAGACAGTGTTCCAGGTACGGGCCTCACAAGTGTCTCCTGTTATGTGGTCTTTCTCCTTCCACCATTGGCAACCAAGGCACAGAGAAGTTAAGAAACCTGCTTAAGGTCACACAGCTGCAAGTGTTGGGAACAATGTTCTACATCCAGAGGGTGGCTTTGCGGTAGGAGCTGGGGGGGTGATGTCTAGAAAGATGAGGTGCAGCTGGCGGGGGAGGGGGATCTGGAACTTCTCCAGGCCTTGAAAGGGCCTTGCAGTTTTATTCTCTGTGTCACGAGGAGCAATTGATGATATGTAATCAGAAAAGGGTATGGTCCCATGTGTGTGTTAAAAGGCCAGAGGTGAGATTAAAAATGACCATGTTTCGCGGATATGAAACTTATATCTGCTCTTTTGGACAGCACAGAAAAGCACCCAGGAGGATCTATTTGTTTTAGTCTGACTCTCCAAAGCATCGCTGATAACCTGGAAATACGGCCTCGCAGCCATTAACCAACCCTTATATTTAATAGCACACTTGGAATGGTTATACTGCACACATTGTCCAGTCAACCAGCACTTAAGGAAACATTGTATCATGTGATGGTTTTATTCCAAGGTTTTGCAGGAAGAGGCAGGCGCTGGTGGAAAGGAGGGTGGAAAGTGGCTGACTGCTTTGGCTGCTTAGTCCAACAGGAACTTGGGGCCCGTCCAGGGCACAGGTCTAGCTTGCTCCTCGGAGACTGCTCCTGAGCCCCAGTGGCTTCCTCAGAGCTCCCAGTTTCTGAGTTCTCCTGGAGCAGACTGTGCTAGGACCTTTTTTGCCTCTGCATATATGGCTGTCAAAGGGCAGCTGTCCCATGCAGTTCACAGGGTGGGGACTGGTCCTTTGGGTGATGCTCTGGGTACCTCTTGAATCTTCATCCTCCGTTGTGCCTTCACAAGTCAGGGTGGGGTGAGGCCTGGGGACTCTGGCTGTTCATAGCCAGGATAAACTGCTGGCTTTATATCTACTTTCATTATATGGATGGATCCGACACACCATCCTGTGGCTTGCCGAGGTTCAGAAACTAGAAGGTGATAGAGTCACCTAGTGTGAGCATGTCAAATTCCATATCATATGTTTAGCTGCTTCTTCATGAAGCCATGTTGTCTCTACGCTAGCTAACATCCTGTTCTGTTTGGGGCAGGAGTTCACTTTCTCAGCGAGGCTCTGTGTCTGGGCTGAACCCAAGCACAGAGGATGACATTTGGGCACAGAAGAGGCTAACCGGACCCAGCACTCAGTGTATTTACGATCTGCACAAGATGGGCAGGATACCACACAGCTCCCTCAGGGAGAGGATGCTGACCTGGGGAGCAGGGCGTCCAGGAGCACTGTATGACCAGAGCTGCCCGTGCTCCTACACCTATCAGGGACTTTGGCCACAGCTCAGTCAGGTTCCAGTAACTTGCCCAGATCTGGCTGGAAAAACCCCCAGAATGCCAGGCCACCAGGCAGCCTCCCTGGGCAAGCCAGTCTCGTGCCGACCCCTCCCTCCTCTTCATGGAAAAGTACAGGCAGATGGGTGCCCTTCAGGCCTGCCGGCAGATGTATGCTATACTCTACACATGCTGGCCCTGTGTTCTCCAACTGCGAATACTGCCTGGTTTGTCCTCGGGCTGGGGCTGGAGGAAAACCGTTTCCCCCCAAAAAAGCAGTTTTTAAAAAATATCTGGAGAACGTCCACTGTCTAAGTGGGATGGGATGTCTTCTAGACAGGCTCGCATTGCTGCTGAGGACACTGTGGTCCTCCAGCAGAGGCAGGGAAGGAATGTGAAACTCTACCCCACAAGGAGCAAAAGGGTTTTTTGTTTTGTTTTGTTTTCTGTTGCATTTTTTTTCCTTTTTTTTTTTTTGCCAGTTCCTATAGGGTCAGGCTTGTGGAGCCTGCTGGGAGTCTGCCTGTGGTGCAGCACTGAGCAAGTCAAGACACCTGGCTGGATATCCCAGGTGCTCACCCGGGCCTCCCAGCTCTCCCCTCCCTTCCCTCCCTCCTTCTCCCACTCTCTGTCTCTCCCTCTCCTCTCCCCTCCCTTGGGCAGTGTGATACACAGTTTTAGTATATGATCTCATGGGATCCCCTAACCTTGGCAGAGCTGGCCCTTGACAGGCTTCTTGGCGGTACCACGGAGTGAAGGAGTGCCTGTGAGCGTCTCTTCACCTCTTCAGGCAGGAGTTTTTCACCTCACAATGCTAGTGCTGAGGTGGATGAGCTCTGACGTCTCAGTGCTTTCTGCTTCAAAACTTTGGAGGGCTCTCATTCTGCTATCAAAGCCCATTTCCTTGCTGTGCTGGTAAAACCGTTCCTTTCCACACAGGCCACCTGCCTCATTCCCCAGCACACAATCTGCCTTGACTTTTCCAGAGATACGCACCTTGACTGGGTGGAGTCAGACAAAAGCTGATTCTGGACACCCAAGGCCTGCTCTTTCTGATGTCCCCACACAGTTCATGCTGAGGTGCTTACATCGGACACTTTGTGACTCCTGCAGGCCCAGCCCTGTGACGACAGATGGGAGGCATGTGTGCATGCGTGCGTGAGTGCATGTGTGTGTGTACATGTGTGTGTGTGCACGCGTGCGTGTGTGTGCGTGCGTGTGTGTGCATGCGTGCATGTGTGTGTGCATGCGTGCGTGTGTGTGTGTGTGTGTGTGTGTGTGTATGTAAAAATCAGGGTCTCAAAGTCAGGGTCAAGAGCGAGGGATTTGGAGTGTGGATCATGGTAAATGTCGGACGACTGAGTGAAGGGAGGTTTTTGACCAGGACAGAGGGAACGCTGTGGCCATTCTCCCTTGGGCTAAAGTTC